AATTATTTATCTACTTCTTTCTCAAGAAGGAATGGATTCCATTTCGTATAATAACATTCCCGGCTACATACTTCATCATGTCTCCAAAATACAAGGAATAGGATTCAGGATCTCATAATTCGTACCGAGTAAATCAAAAGACACAAATCTATAAATAGGAGTCTGCTAAGAACTCAGGATTAAGATCATTCTCTATATGACCATCGGTAGACTTAATTAGAATTTCTATACTTAACGGAAATGATTAGAAATTCATATTGTGTCTGTGTCCTTGTTCCACATAATCTCATTATTCGAAATACACTCATTCAATATCTCACTATATTAACAGTGCGGATAACACCGTTCTATTCTAAATGAGAATGACATGTATTAATAATGTTTTAATTAAAGATTCCAAACTTTAATTAAATTCATTATGAACATTGCTTTTTGATTATTATCCTTAAACATTATCATCTCGTATATAACACTTATATACAATGTTTAAGGTTACATAAATAATCACAGAATTTTCATTGATATTCATAAAATATTCACAAATATATACACATAAAATGATGAATAAACTCTTTTATTAAATAAATAATAAATATCCTATTACATCTTATGCTTCTAGGACACCATTCCCAACACAACCTTCTACATCTTTTTTTTTTTCATTTCTAGACCAGATTTCTTTGCTTATGATCTTCTTTCTTTTTGCGTATATTTTTTTGGCTGTTTTATGTTTTATTTTTCTACTTTCCTTTGGTTGTATATGCATGGTCGTTTTCTCTTTCCTTGCGCCGTTTGTTCTCTTCGTCTTCGGTTTTGTTGATTTTTTTTTGTTTAGATTTCATGAATTTGGTCGTTTGTTCCAGATCTATGTTTTTATCCACTTTATTTTTCCGCTATTTGGTCGTTTACTTTAGATCTATGTTTTTACACCTTATTATCTTCCTCTGTTTGTTTTAGATTTGTTGGTTTTCTGGGTTTCGATTTTCCGTTCAGTTTTGCAGTCATTTTTCCCATTTTTCCTTTTATGATTTCTGTGGGTATTTTGGGGTTTGTTGTTTTGT